TGCTCGATGCTCCTTGCCCGGGTTCCAAAGGGAGGCCTGCCATCCTCTGCGGAAGCAGGTAGGCCTCAAGCGCCGGTGTAGTCTCAATTCTTAACTGGGCATTTGGAGTTCCATTGGGGGCTGCTAGGATGGCTCGCAGGAATTTTATTTGTATGGTTTCTAGCAAATCTCTCTTTGCAAGGATTCCTGTTTGTGCCCCGTAAAGAATTTGTGCCAATGTTTCTGAAGTAGGAAGATGTCAACCCTGTGTCTGAGTTAGCTGCATGAGTGTGCCTATGAAGTCCCTAAGAGTCTGGCTTGACTCAAAACTCATTTTGAAATCCTTTCAGGATGTACCAAAGATAATTGTCTTTGTGACAACACGGGAATCCTTTCCCCTGAATTTATGGTAGGGCCAGCCTTGAAATGAAAGCACGAAGTGACAAAGGTTGTTATTTAATGGATTATACCTCTGTATTTTTATTCCAAAGGAGACGGGATGACTGGATTGTCAGTTTCAGATTTTAAAAGCGGTGTGTGCACATCTGGGAAAGCGGGGGAAACACTGTTTCTTGCAATGATTCAGGAATGTCCCAATATTTTGGAGAAAGTCCCAAGAAGGGTGGGAGAGTGGGGGCAGAGATAAGACATAAGGTCATGTCTTGCTGAAACGTTGCTCCTAAATATAGAATGAAACTTTCAATAGAAGCATCAAACTATTATAAACCAGTGGAAAGCCTCACCTTACAAGCCACTCTGCAAGAATCTACCTATATGAAGAGGTAGATTCCTATGTTAATATTTATCCACAATGCAGACATGTGATTGGAGCAAGCATACCCTGGTTGTTGTGCTCTGCTGAGAAAGATAAAACATTGGGCATCACATTTAGAAAAAGGATCTTTGGAGAAAAGGCAGTATAAATTTACCTGGCATAATGTCTCCTTTTTCTTCAGTAATGGCATGTGAGTGCCTAAGAAAAAGAAACTAGCATTTTCTGAAGAGGCTAGAATTACACGCTGGTGTTTTGAAAAATCCAGTTTCCATCTTAATGGTTTGGCTTGAGCCACAGTATTACTCTTGGCTGTACTTTCTCTGCAATAACAAAGAGATCTCAATCGGCTTTTCTACAGATGGATTTCTAAGAATCCTAAGGCTGGAAGGCACCTTATGGTCTTTGGATCCAACCCCTTCCTTGATCCATGTAGAAGTCTAAATTAAAGCACCTCTGACAGATAGCTGGCTAATCTCTGCTTGAGCACAGCCTGCAAATGGGAGTCTTTTGGTAATGGGTTCCACTGCTGAATGACTCTTAAATATTTTATACCATTACATTGGCATCTCTGCCTTCTCGTAATTTAAGGCCATTATTCTGTTTATATTGTACTCTAGAACAATGGGAACACATGTTGTCTTTCTTCCACTGGGCATCCTTTTAGTAATTTCAAGAGTGCTATATTATGCTTCCCTGATCTCCTCTTCCCAAGGCTAAATATACCTAGCTGCTTCAACCCCTTTGCATAGCAATAGCAATCACAATAGAACTTAGATACAGCTTCATAGTGCTTTACAGCCCTCTCTAAGTGGTTTACAGAGTCAGCCTTTTGCCCCCAACAATCTGAGTCCTCATTTCACCTGCCTTGGAAGGATGGAAGGATGAATTAACCTTGAACCAGTCTGGATCAAACTCCTGGCAGTGGGCAGAATTAGCCTGCAATACTGCATTCTAACCACTGCACTACCACAGCTCTTGCATAGCTCCATAATCATCCTCACTACCCCTTTTTTGAAGCTTTCCAGTTTTGTTGAACCTTCTTTGAAGTGTGGTATTCACATCTGGTTACATCGAAAGTGGGGGATGGCTTAAAGAAGGATCAAACAAACAAATTGCCCTGATTTGGGAATGGGAGCTGCACTGGCCTTTTCGTAGCTCAGGCACATCACTGACTTATATTTAATTTCAATCAATTACCCTTCCACAAAAATTTTCCCTAATACTATTATCAAGCTAGGAATCCCCTATCCAGTACTAGTCCTTATGACTTTTGAGGAACTTTTGCATTTGGAAATCCATTTCTCTAATATATGAAAATTCTTTTGAATTTTATTATCTCCTGGAGTATTAATTATTTCACCTAATTCTGATTTATCTGAAAAATTTATAGGCATTCTCCCCCACTTCCCCATGACTACATGACTTGAATAAGTATTTATACTAATAAATTTTGAATAGTAGGGGTGCCAGGACTGATCTATGTTGTAGCCTATTCTCTTTCCATACTGATCAGGAATTATTGATTAGGATATTCAGCCTACTTAACTGTAATGACACTCAGTTTGCTGGTCTTAATTAGCTTGCTAACCAGTATTTCATCAATTTCAAACAATCCTCAGGCGAGGTGTATTACTGACAAGCAGCATCCATATTGCAGGCATTACACCAGCTACCAATAGGCACTCAGGTACAATTCAGAGCACTGGTTGTGATGTACATGGCAGAGTACCTTCTGCAGGCAGAACCCATCCTGTTCAGCCTGTTCAGCCTAGATGGGGATGTTGCAGGTTCCCAAACAAAAGGAAAGTTATTGGGTATTGGAGATCATATTGGTGACTGTTCTGACCCCCCCCCCCCTTTGATACACCAAAGCACGCCGAGACAAAGATACTTCAAGGATTTATTAACACACCGACTAGACCTTGGAAGCAATCCAGCCTGCCAAAATAGCCACGATAGCTTCTCCAGCTCTAGTAAATACGTTGATTCNGATCAATAATTTATTTTGTTTTGTTCAGGCCAGGCTGGCTTGCTGGAAATGCCAACTTTTTAGGGAAGTCCATACCTACACTGAAATCAAAATAAGCAAGTGCCAACTCTGCTTTTGCAAAACTTGTGAAAGTTTTGGTGTTCTTCCCTTTTTCCTTTCATATTTCAGATATTTTCTTCTTTCTCTCCCCGTGTTTGATTATACAACATGCTCAGTTACAGGAGGGCAAGTGTGGGAATCATAACTGAAGGTTTCTTGCAAGAACAAACAGACATTTCACTCTCTCTAAAGCACCACTGTGTGTATGTGGAAAGGGGGGGAAAAAGCTCCCTTTTTTAGTGTACCAACCTCAACCGTCCTAAAAAAAAAAATGAAAAGGAAAACTAAACATTGGTTCCAGTTAGCTGTAGAATTCAACCTATGCCCTGTTTCAAGTCAAGTTGGAAGATCCCTCTGGAGAGTGGAAGAAAGAGTTACAGTTTGGACGGTGAATTTTTTTCCTAACCACAATTAGCATTTTGTCTATTCCAAGAAATTTTCTTACTGTTGGTTGATCACCTTATATTTCTAGGATGACTTTCCCGGATTTAATGCCCTCCAATACAACCACCCATATCTCAGACAGCATTATCGGTTAGATGAAAATATGGGGAAATGTAATACAAACACATCTGGCAATAATAAATTTAAGAAGACTATCCTAGAACGGCAATAAGCATTATTTCAAATTCTTCGCAAGTTTGACCACTTTCTGCTTGGATAATGCTTGGAGATGTGTATGGTGGGTGGGTGTACATCTGTGGGTATATATAACAACTTCTGTAAAATATTGATGTTCATATTTTTAGACTTTATATTAACCTTCCTAACTCAATTCCATTCAGATGCTCTCCATATTGTTCCAATATAATCTTTAATCGTGTCTGTTCCTTGATCTTTCATTTCAAAACTGTAATATATTTCTGTTCTTTTTTTTAACGCAGTAATAAAACAGAAAAATGTGTCACAATGGAGAGATTGGCAGAAAAGTCAGCCATCACATTCCAAGTTGTGCAATTTTTACTTTCTGGTTTCTTTTCTCATTCTTTGTACAAGAAGGCTACCTTAGCCCTGTGACAAATCAATCTACAGTAGTATCTGACCTATACCTGAATACAGTGGAACCAGTTTGATTACCAAACGTTTAGTTAGTGTAATGAATACGTTTCTTACTTGTTTGCCCTTGAACAGTAACCGATGTCAGGATCTCCAGAAAGCAACTCAGAGAAAAGAGAAATTGATACTGCCTGCAAGGAGGGAGGGGGAAAAAAAACATCTCTTAAACATAAAGGTAGACTGCCTAATAATCTCATACATTTTCATTTCAGAGTCATGGATATATTCTACGTAACTTAAATACATAATTCCATGACATTTATTTATTTATGAACATTTATTTTGCCGCCCAGCTCACTCTCAGTGACCTTGGATGGCTTACAAAGATTTAAAAAAAAACCTAATATAAAAACAATAAAAAAGCAATAAACCACCACCACCCACTCCCAACCAAACTCCATAAACCTTCCTTTACACAATAGGTGAGCATTTTTTCTTAAAAGGTTTCAGTTCTACCACATTTTATTTCTCCATACAACAAAACGGTTTGAGTTGGAGTCATTCTCTCAAGCGTCCTTTCCTAACACGATTGCCATATAGGGAAATAAAAACATTAATATAGAGGTTCAGCTCACACAGACTCTTTTGAATACAGTCCATTGAAGTTTCTCCATTTTTAGAGCGCGATTCTTTTAGAAATAAGACTTGATTGCTTACCAGCCGTTCTTCATGTTTCCACCTTATCTTGAGCGGCAGAAGGCTAGAGAATTATTTGGGGTTTTGTTCTTATTGAATAAGGGGGTCAATGTGTCCCCTCTGCAGAGCATCTGTGGAGGAATGGAAGTCACACCTCTGAGACAGTTTTAATGGCCCTGAGGAAACGTGGAGGTGGGCACTAGGCAAGCTTACGTGTCCTAGACTAGAAGGGAGGGTGAGAAGAATTTGGCTGGGAATTTGGAGGAAAGGGTGGGGGCAGGGGTGGGTGGGGAGGTGGTAGTATGGGCTAGCCATACTACCTAGCAAGTGGTGGAAGAAAACTAAAGGGGAGGAACTAAAAGGAGAACATGAAGGGCTGGTGCCTGGAACTGACCCAATAAAGTTTCTGTATATTTTGGCACTTCTACTCTTCAGGGTAAATTTAAACCCTTGAGGGAAAAAAGGAACTTTTCATTTACACTGACTCTCCAATGAGGCAGTCACTCCTGCAACACAGGGATTTTGCTGAACAGAAGCAGGCAGGGTTCATAGCTGAGGTCTGAATCTCTCCAGATAATAACACAGATAATAACCTAGTTCAGTTTTCTGGTTAATAAGTCTGCTACCCGCTCTCTTCAGGTTAGCTGTATTTTTTTTTAAAGTATAGATAACCGTTGCCTGCAGAGAATTTTCTGTGGCTGGAAAAAGCAAGAATTCTTGATCCGGGGGAATTAGGTACTGTTTGGATGGCTAGAAATAATCTTTAAAAAGCAGTTAGGTCAATAGTACTTTGTAGGATGTTCATGGGCACTGATAAAATAGTTTGGAAGGGAAGCTGGTACACTGAACAGTGGCTAGTCAGATATGTTGAAGGGCCCAGCAAAGGGAAGTACCCAAAGATTTGTTAATACAGGTAATCCTTGGTAGTCAACTGTTGTGGCCCAGCAGGAGCCATTGGAGCTGCCACCAGATTCCGACAGCGAGGGGCTCTATGAGTCGGCTCTGGAGGATGTGGAGGACCCTGGANTTTCGAACTGCTAGGTTGGCAGAAGCTGGGACAAGTAACAGGAGCTCACTCCGTTACGTGGTGCTAGGGATTCGAACCGCCGAACTGCTGACCTTTCTGATTGACAAGCCAGTATCTTAGCCACTGAGCCACCATGTCCCTTCTGAGCCACCAATTCCCTTCTTTCTAATTCTAGGAATATATAAATTAGAGAAATGAATAAATAAAAATGCTCACCACAATGGTGTGATTAATGATCAAGAAGAGCCCAATGTTGCACAAAGGGAGGGTAAAGGGGGCAGTTAGTGAACGACAGGTTCCTTCTCTAGCACCCAATTGTCTCTCACTGCAGCTCAACAAAATTCTTGGGAATAAAAACCCCATAAACTCCCCAAACCACAAAGCTTTTTTCTAATAACTTCAGTAGGAGTAGAATTCTGTGGAAGCATTTCTTTTTTGTGCCAATTCTATTTTTATTTCACAGCAGATCACAAATTATATTACCCCTATTTATAGTAAAGTGTCAGCAGCTAGTCGCTCGCGGGCTGAATATAGATTTTTTTTTATAAGATTGCCATCTGGTTCCCCCCATGCCTTCTTACACTTTCCACTATATTTAAAACAGAAGAAGGAAAAGATGATGTAGGAGGCAAATCAGGAAATCTCTTCGGTGTGCACTTTAGCTGTGATACCACACACCCATTGTTGCCCAAAGAATATATTCTCGTTTTTGCTTCCTTTCAAGCAGATGTTTGAACTGTGAGATTCGCAGTTGTTGTTTTTTTTCAATTCTAAAAGATGCATAAAATCGTGATCAGGTCCTTCTAGAGACCATACTAGGGGAAAAAATGTATTTTAATTTAAAAACAGATCTGTCAAACATTTCCATAGCAATGGGTCCTTGGCTCTGACCCATTTTCCTCTTCACTTGCTATCTCTGCTTGACTGCTTACAAGGGGTGATCTTCTCTGCTTCTTTCGGGACGCTGGAGTGGTCACTATGCATTGCTTGTCGGGGCTGACCAGGGAAGCCATGTCACGCCACTTTCCCAACCGCAGAGCCGAGGCCGTGTGCTTCCTCACCAGAGGTGGGTTCCTACCAGTTCGCACCTATTCGGTAGAACCGGTTCATCAAATCTACCGAAACGGTTAGAAGAGGTTCCACCAGTGGACCCGGAAAGCAGGCCACACCTACAGAAGAGGTTCCAAAATTTTTTGAAACCCACCACTGGTATCCTATCTAAGCAGGGGGTTGAATTAGAAGACCTCCTATATCCCTTCCAACACTGTAATTCTAGTCTAATGAAAAGTAGGAGTAGGAAGGGGGACATGATGGTACTGTTCCAATATTTGAAGAGCTTCTACAAAGACTAGGGAGATCAAAATATTTTCCAAAGCATCAAAATAAGAAACAATGTTGGAAACTAAGGAGGAGAGAAGCAACTTAAAACTAAGGAGAAATTCGAAAATGGTGAGAGCAGTTAAT